ACCTGATGAATGTAAAAACAAAGACTTACGTGATTTTTTTTTTTTTTTTTTTTTTTACCTGATTTTTGTTTCTGAGAAAAATAAGATCCACATATGAAGACATTTGCTTTAAATTTCGATAGAACAGTGGCTGAATAATATCCTCGTGAGTGGATATCAGACCCTTATAGAGCAAAATTTAGAATTTTGGTCTAGATAACTCAAAATGTGATGTCCACATATGTGTACGCTAGGTCCTAGGAGGTTAAATGTCACTTGGAACGAAGCACTATGATAGCTGCCCACTGTTTCTATCCGGTCTTTAAGTCTGACGTCATCAGCTGTGTCTGGGCCCAAACCCTGTTGCAGGTCCATAAGTCAAACGATACACTCGGCATCACTGAGAGTTAAAAACTTCTAAATTCTTTCATCTGTAATTTCTATTGGTTTACAGAGGTGTCACTGTTGCTTATGACCTTTATATTCAGTAAAACTCTGTTACTTAACATGTTACAAACATGTTACAAAGCATCACATTTCTTTTATGTAGTTATGAGTAGTTTCAAAAGAGAGGATAGGGTGGACCATTACTAGATGAAAGGTGAATAATCATGAATTTGAGAGCCTATTATGCCATCTCTTAGGAGATGTTTTTTTTTCTCAGTGTCTGGCCTCCTGATAAGTTGCCATTGCTGAGTTATACTTTTTGAAGATCAACTTTCTTTACCATAAATATGCACATGTCAGGAGATCACTGGCTATCTCTCACAGTCTTGACGGATGCTCAATCATCCTGTTCATTCATCCAAGTGACTTCTTCAGTCTCAGCTGACTGAAGGTTTCCCCAATCTTATAAGCAGTACATTTGCATAATGACTGATGCCAGCCAACTGAAGGAACAATGAGCTGGGAGGTCAGTTCCTTCATCATATTATGCAAATTATCATGACCATTGATTAACAACCACTGATCAAAGCCCACTGATCAAAGACCACTGATCAATGGCCATGAGTACCTCCCAGCCCTTTGTTCCTTCAGTGGGCTGGTATCAGTCATTATGCAAATGTACTGCTTATAAGATTGGGGAAACCTTCAGTCAGCTGAGACTGAAGAAGTCACTTGGATGAGTGACAAAACATTTCTCCCACTGAAAACGCTACGTCCAGATGAACAGAATCAACTTTTGGAGGCTATCTCTCATATCCACATTTTTTCACTCTTACAGATTCCTGGAAGATTTTGTTCGGATTTTGAACATGTCCTGTCTACAGTGTATGTTCAAAATTGCATTTATTATCACTGTCATAATGCTCGTGGCCTATCTTTTCAACATGTACTTTCTCTATATCATGAGAATGTTTTGACACATGACAGGATAGTATTTAACTTTGTAAAAGGTTTAACCACAGATATAACCACAGATGGTAAGTTTTTGACTTTCTGAAAGAAAGTGCGTGTGTTTTTAATGACTTCTTAATTCATTACTAACCATTGTGCTGGACATTTTTTAATGTGCATGTTTTTCATAATACAAAGTATTATGTAGAGATTGTTTTAGCATGTACATGTTCTTTGAGTAAAAAAAAAATGACTGTAGATTTAATATGATTTTTTTTTCTTTTTTACTCAGTCTCTTTAGTTCATAATCTTGAGATTCTTGAGCCATCTCCTCAGTAGGTCTGATCCATCTGTGTTATTTGTTTTTCTGCTTGATATTCTCCAAGCTGCTATTTTTCACTTTAATCATTTACCGACTCTTTTTTCTTCTCTGCAGAGAATGAAGATGGCCAAGTCTACACTGGTGTTGTGGCGGGTGAAGTAAGGAGAGAAAATAGCAGAGCTGGAGTTAATCAAGTCTTCCTCAACCAACAGGAGATGGTTTTCTTTATGCTACCATCCAAAAAACATATGGTGATTTAGGTTAGGGGTGGGTTTCAATAATCGATTTTCCAATTAAAATTGATTTTAGCTTTAAGAATGTCATATCATTCATTAAAATTCTGTATCGATTTTTAATCTATTTTGCCAGAAATGCCAGAATCTCAGGTTAAACTCACAAAACTATTTTCAACAACCACCAAACAGCTAAAACAGTAAAGAGAGCAGGTAAACGGATTCGCACAAAGAGTAAACACAAAGCGTGGACCCGACAGATCAGAATCTGTGAGATGTCGGCTTTCTTCTTATGCAGACACGCCATTGGGGCTTTTATCAATGACCAAAAAACACATTGGTCATTGATAAAAGATCCAAATGCCCACAGCTGACTCTTCAGTCACAGAGGAAGAGAATACATTGTGTTAAAAGTTTGTGACTTCTTTGATATCTGCACAATAAATTTTACATTCAAAAAAAAGATTCCCTAACTTGTTTAAATACAGTTGTGGCATGGCGTGGTCTGCGGTGCCAGTGCAGGGAAGGCGGACGCACCTGAATGGCATCCACAATCACCCTTCACCAGTTTAAAGTCTGTGTTCTAATGTTGGGCTGGCAGCTGTAGAGCTGCAGCCGTGTGTTTGTGACAGCAACCATGAGAGTGTCAATAAAGTATGTTGAAAAGCATGTTCATGTACATATTATCGGGTCTGCTGTGGTACGTTTACCACAGTTCAGTTCAAATTTATGTAACATTAAATCAAAAATCTCTATGCAATCTCTAGGCAGTGGTTCTTGGGCATATGAATGACACAGGGTGTTATGAGGAGAAATGCAGAAGGACAGATGTTCATGGATTTTCCTAGAAGGTTGAAACTGGTTGTGATGAACATTTCCTTTAAGAAAAAGTTAAATTTTTGAGCTAAACCTCTGTGAACCTAATATTATTATCTCGTAACAGAAAGTAACAGATAGCAGTATTTGTATAACAGTTTGATGGTAAAAAAAAAAAATGTGAAAAATATGAAAATATTGTTTTTCTGTATTTACTCTGTCATACATATTTGGGGAAAATTTTTTTTTTATTTTTGCAGTTTTTCTTGATTGCTTTGACCCACCTAAAGATGCTGGGTTCCCTCAGTTTTCATCATCATTATATCAGTAGTACAGAAGATACCTCTTGGAAATGTTTTAACCCACAGTTTTGCAAAACAGTTAACACGGATGTCATTCAAACAGTCCATACCTGACAGCTTTTTTCCTGAGACCTGACGATGTCCTAAAATGTACACCGTACAAAAGGTTCCACATCTGTGTTGTTCTTTACCAGCATCTATGGAGGAGGTCTAAGGCAGATGAGAGTGAGTATCAAAAGTGGTGATTTCTATTGCTGTAACAGATTTTATTTTGGTTTACATGTATTTTCTGTAATATTTCATGTATTTCAGTTTTTGGGCATTCTCATATTCAAGTGAGAAGTGCATCAACATAGTAACAAATATATATATTAATAAAATATATTTCTACACATTAACCATGTGCAGAAACAACAGTAGTGTGTGAAAACAATGAGAATGACTAATGTGTTACTGATTTCTGAACTGCATTAAGAGTGGTGAGAATTGTGTTTCTGCTGTGAGAATTGTGCAAATGTAATTGATAATATGTATGTAATATCAATTTAGTTAAGCTGTTATGTTTTGTCAGGGATCATGTTTATGAAATAAAGCAAGGCAAATAAGGTGGCCAGTAAAGAAGTCCAAAGCTGCATAATTTTTAATCACTAGAGGGCACCATTATGTAAGAATTACTGAGCTGACAGTGTTTCCATTGTTCAGGTTTTAAAATCAAATGTTACATTTCAAACCCAGTTTGGCTTAACTATGTTTTTGTTGAGTGCAGGTAGGGTGGAGTGTGTGGAGATGAATTTCAGGTGTGACAGAAGGCTAGCAAAAAGAGCAAAAGTGAAGGTTTGCAAGATTGTAGTGAGACATGCTATGATTTACAGTTAGGATCTGGATGTTAAGATCTTCAATGGGAGTAACCCGAACGTACAAAACTCAAAATAAGTATCAGAGGGAACAGCTCAGGTTGAGGATTTAGGAGACAAAGTTAGAGAAGCAAGTCTAAGAGGGTTTAGACATGTGGTGAGGTTTTTAAATACTGGAGAGGTGTAATCGAGGGTGCTGAATATCGAGCTGTCAGGCAGCAGGAAAAGAGGAAGCCTGCAGGAGTAGATAATCTACCGGGGAGCAAACAAAGGAAGACGGAAAAGCTGTGGTTTTCCTGATCTGCCCAGGCAACTAATATATAATATCAGAGATTATATTTCAATCTCCACACACATATTCTGCTTTGGATTTCTTCTTTCAGCATCTATTTTCTTCAAAATACTGTATGATATACAGATGTAATAGTTTGAACGCACCCACATTGCCTAAACTATTTTTATTAAAAATCAAAGGCAAAAAAATAAAACATCAAAAAGCATTGTGTGTCCTGTGCTCATCAGTCTACATTTTAAACATAGACATAAACATAGAGCAGGAGCACAATATAACCAAGAAGAGTTATTGAGAGGCTCTGTGTAATAAAAGCTACATGCATATTTGTGGTTTGAATGGTGACACTTTTTTTGTGTTTCACTTCTTTCTGTGTGATGGTAACAGTTGCTGTGCAATGACATTGATGTCTCCTTTTATGGCGAAACCTAACATGAGACCTTGACACACAGAAATTTGGTACATTTCAAAACCACTGAAAAACACAACAATCATTAATGCCTGTGAAAGTGTTTCAAGGTTTGACAGGTAAAAATAATTGACTGTTTTTCATTAAATTGGTAGGCAGCTTCTTTCTTTTGTCTCTCTTTGCAGCTCTATTGTAGTCACATCCTGCCTGGTCAGTGTTCACACGTTCTTCCACCAACAGGAAACATGGTCAGTGTAGGTTGTGCCTTTTTACATCTTGGTAAAATAGAAGAGTTTGTCTGAAAGCTGCCTGCTGAATAGGCTGAATGGAGAAGAAAAACAGAAGCTGTGTTTGTGTAGGTGATGCTGATACCATATTATTATTTTATATTACTGATGATGCTATTATTGCATCATATCTGTGGTGAGCTGTATTTAATTGTTTGAAATATGCAGCAGCTGGGGTAATAAGTGTTGTCACTGAATCGATGATAATATTATCTTTAGTGTTCTGCAGCTTAAAGGTTGAGCTACACTTACGATAAATTTATACAAAAATAAAATTCATTATAAGTTTTCCTTGGATTTAAAGTTGCCTGGATATTAAATGAAAGCTCTCTTTGCTACAATCTCCACTGATGTTTGTGGATGATTACTATTTACACTTATCACATGTAAGGAATCACTCGGACAGCTGAAAACTGTACCAGCACGCATTGAACAGTGAGAAAAGATGGAAGCTGTGCTTGGATTGATGATTGTTCTACTGGGAGTTGCTCAGGGTGAGTTTTTCAGCTTATGAGATGCAACACTTTTATAATGTAAAAATCTTATATATCAACAGTGTGTTTTGAAGCCATGGCATGTGTTAGTACATTTGACTACTTGAAAACAGCCAAAGGATCTCTTGTCTTTTATTTGTTTATAAGTTCAGCTTATTTACAGTATGCACTTAAGGTAAAAACAAGCAGTGCTGAGTTATAGTCATGTTGGCAAATACAGATTTCCAACATGACTAATGTGTTCATCAGTTACAGTAGCGGTATGATGCAGTAGTGTTGAGTGATATATTTTTTAAAGTTTTTAACTGGAAAAAATATAGCTGCAGATAAATGGAGAAATTCTTTACTTTGTGCATTAATTTTTAGAATTTAGGCAGTTTTTGTTCATCCTTGCTGCACAAAACCAACTTCTTCTTCAACTTCTTCTTCTTGTAGTTTTTGTGGTTGAAATGGAATTACCTCATAATGGAATCTTTTTACCTATTTTCTTTTTCCCACATCTAAGGATGTTTACTTTTCCAACTAAATGTTAAAACTTTAAATTAAAATTTCGTAAGGTACAAAAAGTAGCTTGGTTTATTCAAAATTTTATTGCCATGATTTCGTAATTGTAGTTGTCAAAAGTGACATATTATACACTGTTTACTTACCAAATTGCTTTAGTAGTACTCTATTTTCTGCACTATAAGGCACATTTATAATGCTTACATTTTCTCAAAAATCAGCAGTGCGCTTTATAATCCGGTGCGCCTTATGTATGAATTCTGGTTGTGCTTACTGACCTCGAACCAATTTTATGTGATAAACCGTTCTCAAAAATCTGTCAAAAAGATTTTTAGTACGACTTTGGTAAGCTACGAAGCCGCACTGCTGTCGGAGCATTATGGATAACATAGTCAGGAGTCTCACGGAGTCTGTTCAGGTCCTAAAGATAAATGAACACTGGGCCATCACTGGGAGTTAAAAACCTTCTAAATGCTTTCATCTTTAATATAATGATCAGCATTGCTGCTTTACCAGGTGTAACAATTAAGTTAAAAATCGAGGCATCCATGAAAACAGAATTTATTAAATTTAATGGAGTTAGAAGTTAGCAGGGAGTTAGCTCACTAGTTTCCACCTAAACAGGATATACCATGTTCTGACTGAAAGATTTCGTAAACAAATTAAGACGTACAGCTCTGCTATCACTTCCAACATAAATGAAGAGAGAAACTAAACAGCAGTGACATTTGTAATGTACAGAGATGGGCAGTAACTTCCAGTCAGAGAATGTTGCATATAATTAAATTTTTGCTAGATGCATAAAGTTAAAAGATTAAAACGAATAAAACAAGTTTTAAAAAGAGACTTTTCCATTTGGTTACATTTTGTATGATGGATTATGTAGAAAAAGTAGAATTGGGCTGAAAGATCTATCGCTTTATCACCTATTCAGGTTGTAAATTGTGTTTTTAAAAAGTAACTAAGTAATTAATTACTTCCCAAAAAAAGGAATCAGTAAAGTAATGGGATTACTTTTGGGGGGAAGTAATCAGTAATTAGCTACTGATTACTTTTTTCAAGTAACTTGACCAACACTGGTAATGTACACTATATAAATGGTGTATATAGACAAAGGCATCTCTTAATATTTGAATTCAGGTGTTTTCAGTTACATTGCCGCAGGCATATTAAATCAAGCACCATGCAGCCTACTTTTACAAACATTTGTGAAATAATGGAAAGCTTTAAAGGACTCCATGAATTGATCAAATAATGAAATAATACAATAAATCAAAATTCAAAGTATAAAACCAGGGACAAAAATTTTATAAAAAATAAAATGAATTGCAAATAGCAGTAGTAAAAAGACGAAACATGAACATAGCTATCAAGTTGAAGCCTTCAATTTGACACTATTATAAACTCATATTGTGTTTGTCTCATATGATTCTAATTACAGATGTAGGCCTGTCACTGGTATTATTACATAGAGTAATGATGTGAAACCTTTCAAGTATAAAACTAGGGACTGCTCTCACTTCCAACATAGGTGAAAACAGAAAACTAAACAGCAGTGACTTTTGTAGGGTTACTAAAGTTGGGCTGGTTGGTATATAATGATTTGCTACATGATCGCTAGTGACACAGCTATGTTAGCACAACATAAACACAGTGAAGCTAGAGGATGAATGCTAACTTTTTTCCACTCAATAAAAGTTAATGTAAGGGTTCCCGATGGTATTCGGACAAATGCAATCGCATGGCAGGATGCTATAAACAGACCAAACTTCAGTCAGGAGAACAACTGAGATAACCCATCCACAATAAAGGTTAGTCATTAATATACTGCAACAACACAGGAATAGAGCAGCTGAAAGAAGATTCAACATTCATGAATCAATGGTACGGAAATGGAAGAAGCAAGAAGAATGAGTTGAGCAAAATTGACTTATCTGATGCTTATCTGCCTTATGTAGGAAAACAGACCCGTTCAGGGACAGTGCACCTTATAATCCAGTGTGCCTTATGATCTGAAAATATGGTATATTTAGTTGTTAAGATATCTCTAAATTTTGGTCTTTACTACTGTAACGTTGCAAGTTTGTTGCAAAGTTTGTAGTGACCATGTTTGCAGTGACCGTGTACTGGTGCCTCTATTACCTGTGACATATAAGACACAATGCCAGGTATAATACCTTGTTTTTACACGTTATAACCAATTAACCCACTGTGAGTGAAATATTCAGAATTATTTTTTAATTGCTTCAGTGCTGCTTAATATCTTTTTTTTTTTGTTGTTGTTTTTTTCACAAAAATATTTTTTGAATTTGCAGGTGTGGAAACTTACTGTGATGGCAGACAGGATGGAGCTCAGTGTTATGGAGCTTTGGGAGGAACTGTGGACATCCAGCTGATGGACAGCACCTCAGAAATATCTAGATACCACTTGTTAAAGGATTCATTAAAAATATTGGATGTGAAACACAATAAGAGTTTTCATGATACCACAGAGAACAAATTTCTATTTTTTCCTAGTAATGGAACATTTAGGATCAGTAGCCTAAACAGGAATGAGCATGGTAATTATACCCTTCAAACATTTGATTCAGATGGAAGAAAATCAGATGAGTGGACTTTCAAGTTGATCTTTCAAGGTAATTTTTTCCATTTCAAGAAATGACTACAATTATTATATATAGTGCTTAACAAATGTATAAAAACATCAAACATTTTAAACTTTATAGATAAATGCTTTATAGTGTTTAAAATATAATTTGGATTAAAGGGCTAATAAATATTGGTGCATGAAAAATCATAGAAACATAAAAAATATATTTGCTAATCATCAATAATGTTTATTTAAGGCAGGTGTGGTATAAACGTTGCATTAGATGGTAGCCTAATAAATGTGTTAAGCCCTGTAAATGTAACATTATTTTGGGTAATCTACATAACATATCATCTTATATAATATATCTCATATTCTGTGTGGTATAGATGGTCCTTTACTTTACAACATAAACAGCGTGAGGCAACTGTTGTTGTGATTTGTTGCTATTAATAAAATTAGATTAGATTAGACTGAATTTGAATATTTAATTGAAAATTCTAAATTTAACTGTATTTTGTGGCTACAATTCTCTTCCTTATATACTATTAAGAATGAACAGTTCTGACATATAATATCAAAAGTCATCTGTGTGTGTTTCTCTCAGCTCCTGTGTCCTCTGTCCTGCTGCTCTCTGAGTGTCTGTCCCAGGGAGAGATGAGGGTGTCCTGCTCCTCTCAGGGAGGGGACAGTCCTCAGTACAGCTGGACTCTGGATGGACGCACACTGACAGATGCTGAGCTCCTTTCTGGAAATAATAAGAGTAACAACATTATTCTGAAACAGCACGTCTCAGGACATCTGGTCTGCTCAGTGAGAAATCATGTCAATAGTGTCTCCAAAGAACAAAGGATATGCACTTGTGGTGAGTAAGAACATGATGCAAAAATATCTTAAGAGTTATGAGTTTTACATTTGTTATAAATTATTGAAACAGCAAATGAATTCCTCAGGATTCATATTCATTAACTGCACTTTATCTGATGGGACACACATTACAAAGTGGGTGCTTGCAACCAAAAATACCCTGTGTATTAAACCAACAATGGGCCCTATAAAAGTCTCTGACACTCCTCTAGGTAAGGAATCAATCCTCTAGTAGTATCACTTACTCCAATGGTAACTCAGTTATACATAAGTGAACCTGGTCAAAGCTCTAATTTAATGTGATATTTGTGTCTCTGAACAGATAACTCCTTACTTTTATGTGGTTTGAGAGCAGTGATGGGAATTCTCTTATTAATTGGGATTTTCATCTACTTTGCTTGGAAGAAAAAGAAAACTTTAAAAGCTGAAGTCTCTGCTGTCCCACAAACGATGGACTATCCAGACAACTCTGTTCTGATGGTTGAAATGAGAAGTTCTACTTCTTGCAATGTGTAGTGTCAACTTTGATCTACTGACATTTCACATCTCTGTGCGTGTGAAAATAACACTTAGATGACACGTATCTCTTGTTTTTATTCACTAATCATGTTTTACATTTACACAGCTTACACTGAATTGCAATGAGAAGGTCTGAGTATCTTATGCATTTGTATTCTGTGGAAACTAATATAACAAATGTTGTAACTGTAAGTAGAGTAGTCTTTTAATCTGAGACATTTTTTGGCCTAAAATCAAATACATATTACATAACTGCAAATAGAAATAATCAACCCACCAGAAACTACTGTTTGTACTAAACTGAATTTAAACACTGTTGCAACTGGTTGAAATCAACAGCACTGATTCATACTGTGTACTTTTCTTTTCTTATTGCTACACTGTAACAATATATTTGCAGGACAGGTTTATTTATTGCTGCGTTTTCTTGCTTACCTTGTGTATCTGTCTGGTTCTGCCTTTTCTGTGTTTCCTTACCTTTCTGTCTTTGTGTCAAGCTCATATGTCATAGTCTAGGTATTAATGTTAGTCATTTCCTGTTTTAATTTGCCATCCCTTGTGCTTTGTGTTCTGTTTTGTTTCTCTTATTTCATTAGCCTGGGATAAGTGTCTGTACTCCCACCTCTTGCCTGTTCCCTCATCTTCCTATATGTTCATGTATGGCCTCAGTCTCATTTAGTTTCATGTTCTGTTCTTCCTCTAGACAGTGTGCCTCTTGCTGTGTGTTCTGCTGTTCATGTGTCCTACCAAGTAAACCTAGTTCATTAGTTCCTGTTTCCACCTTGATTGAATTATTTTCTATTCTGTATTTTAGTTTTTGTTCATTTAGCAATAAAGCTGTTTTGAGTTTAACTTCTGTCTTTGCGTCCTAACCTTCCTGCTACACAGCCAGTGACATGTGACACAGGAAGCATGATGTTTAGAGTGTGAAACAATAGCACAGTGTGACTGTCCATATCTTATCAAGATGTACAGTTTCAGAGCTTCTGCTTATAAGCAGATCTGTCCACTTGATTAGCCAAGTTTTGTTAAAATCAACCAGCAATTGTTGAAATTGTAAACAAAACATCTCAAAACCTTTGTTTTTAAATGGATACATGGACTGATACTGTGATGAGGTCAGAAACTGCAATAGATTTCAAACTTGTAGATGACTACTGTAAAACTGTTAACTATTAAATAGGTCAGTCCAAGAAAGCATTGATGATAAAGAGTATTCTTATTGTTACAGCAAGTGTAAAATACCCTAAAAAACCTTTTATTGTCAAGAGCTGTTTATTTTGGGTTCCTCTAATACATTTAGGGCCTTTGAGGTATAGTGCAATAAAAACTACATTCAATAAAATCACTTTAAACAGAATATGGTCAGACAAAGCTTTAAATGGCCAAAAAAAAACCCCAAAGAAAGCAGCATTATTTATATGTGTCAATGGAGGGAGCCATTATGTGAGATATTTACAATAGTTGTCTTGGTGTTATGCCTCCAATGTTCAGGTCTTAAAATGAAACGAGAAGCACTCAGAGTGTGCAAACCTCTACTAAGGCATTTACTTTGAAAGGAATAGCATTGTACTCAATTTGTTTACATTTATTCCTTTAAATGTTTTTGAAAAGTTTGTAGTACAATAAAATGGAATAGAGTAGACCTTTATTGTCATTGTACATGTACAACCTAATTGCGGGTGCCCCACGCCACCTGTACAGGAATAAAATGAAGATAAGATGAAGAGAACGTGGTAATGGAGGATTTTTAGTGACTTATCAACCACAGCACATTCACCATTGGAGGTTTCACAAGCAACAAGCTGAGTAATGAGAAACCTAAGCCAACTCCACCCTTTCTTGCATAGCCTAGGTGTGGGGGGTCTGGGTGGAGGCACAGGAGAGACACATAGCTACTCTCAGCTCATGCTTGAAGGTGACAGTTTGTGGCAATAATGTTCACTCTGTTGGGTTGTCAGGACAAGTGCACAGCAAAATCTCCAGAGTTAAATTAACACTAGAGAGTGTCTATATGGGTCCACACCTCTGAGTGTTAAATACAACACTGTTGAGTGTTAAATTAACACTTTTGACAGTGTTATATGTTTAAAAGTAACCTAGTCAGTTTTGAAGATTAACAATGGCTAACACTGAGCAGTGCTGATTTTCTAACACTGGAATATTTCTAACATTTTGAGTTATTACTTTTAAAATATTGTAACTCAGTTACTAACTCAGTTACTTTTTTGAAGAAGTAACTAGTAACTAATGCCACAACAACCATGCCATGTTCACAGCCACAAAATCAGCTTTCTTCCGTATTTGAATGCTCAGTTTGAACTTCAGCAGGTAATCGTGATCATGTCTACTGTCGTGTTGGTTGGTTAGATTTGTGTTAACTGGAAGAAACCAGCAGAATAAGGCTTAGAGAGGGGTGGCCATCTGCCGCAACCAGTTGAGGGCGAGCAGATGAAGACAGGACAAAAACACACTGTAGAAGAGAGCCAGAGATATTAAATATTAAAAGTACTTTTGAGAATTGGGTTTCTCTGACATACATCTTGCCTGGTCTGAGTTCACACATTTTTATTTGAAGCCGGTCACCAACAGGAAACCAATTGTGCCTCTGTGCACACAGTGTGCAAAGAGGCCTGCTTGCATTTATCCTGTGCTGTTTGCATCTTGGTAAAGTAGAGGAGTTTATCTGAAAGCTGCTGGCTAAGTTGACAGTACAGTCACTGAGTAGCTTTTAATAACATCCTTTGTGTTAAGTTCTGCAACTTAAAGCTTCACCTATGCTTGTAAAACTTTACACAAAAAATAATTCATTGTAATTCTTGGTACATTTTGATGTACCACTGACTGTAACTATAATTGTGGCTGATGTAGCTGCTGTATGATGAGACTAATTAATATTTATACTTTGACAGCTACTGAATGTGTCAATAGACTCTGTGAGAAGCAAAGTTGGGTGATTTTGACACCATCTATTGATATCATGTTACTGTAATCACATTGCAATTTTCATTACACTGTTATGACCCCTCATTTGTCTGTGAAGTCTAGGGGGCACAAGGGTGTAACACACAAGGGCAACAGCACAAGCCATACATAAGCCCATAAACGATGAGTCAAAGATTTATTTTACAATTTTACAAACAACTATTTACAATTAACTTAAGTAGGAGGAGAAAAGGAAGCAAATTCATCTTCAGGGTCTCCAAGGACAAAACAACAAACAAAAAATCCTCCTGGAAAGAAACGAACACACTAAACTCTAAAGTGAAACAAAAAAACACAAACAAAGAAAAACAAAACAGCAGAAAAGGTTGCATGAATAAAAATAGTGAAGGAACCATCACTATCTACTGGCACGGATATCAGTGAAACTGAGACAGGGAAAGTGGATTCAGAAGGTTTGTCTTTTAGATGGGGATTTTGGGGGATCTTCCCTAAAGTCACTGAACAGTTTCAGCATGTTAGTATAACACAGGCGTGTCTGCTTCCACCGTGCAGGTGTGTGGAGAGTCTGGTGTAATTTATGCTGCTTTTAACTTAACCCTGACCTCCAAATTTTGCTGAAAACAACTGTGTGTGGGTACCAACACAAGCACTTGTCAGCAGGTTGAAAAAAAAAAACACTGAACAGTTTTCCTATCATATAGCGTTTTCATGTTACTTTGAGAAAAGAAGAGGCTCGGAACTGTGTGACAACATCAAGGACAAACACTTTTAGCAGCCCTCACACATTATGTCCAAACAGCAGCTCAGCAGGGATAAAACTGAGAGATATCTGCTTAGCCTTGTGAGCAGCAAACAGCAGGAAAGCAAGACCTTTACCCCAGGGTCTCTCAGTCTCAAGGCAGTATTTGTGCATCATGATCTTTAAAGTTTGATGCCAGATGTTTGTTTGAGGCTAGAGATTTTATTTTCGAAATACCTAAAGATTGCAGATCCACACAATCAACAATTACACACTCTAAAGACTCACCAACTGCAGAATGATAGGAACAGGTTGCACAAAGTGGTCACACTTACCAGCAATTTGACAAGTGCTACAGGTTTAGCTACATCAGTTTTAAGACCCAGCCAGGAAAAATGTTCCCAGCACTCCGCCAATGATGGAGGATGCGGTCATGTTTTTTTAACTTCTAAATGATCAGACTGTGAATGTTCATGGGCTAGCTGCAACACACCTTGGCTGCACCCCTTGGGAACTACCATCTGCCATACCACACCCTAGTCCTCATCTTGATTTTCCTGCTTTAACTTAGGCCCATTTGTGCATAAACAGGTCATCTTTCAAGAAGATGCCTTTTTTCTCACTTGTTGTTTCTGTTACTTCTATAAAATATTTAGCAAGTGTAGCATCAGCTTTCTTGGCTTTCCTCGGGAATCCATTGACATAAGTAATTAATGGAAGACTTACAGATGTAGCATTAACTGTGTTCTGATCACAGGCTGTGGACTCTGAAGGGCTGACTGGGGATAATTTATCCTCTGTCAGGTAAAGAGAGAAGCCCTTAACTTTTCTCTGACAGTGTTAGTGAGCTCACTGGGTGTTTATAATTTTAGAGATAACTTAGATAACTGCTTGAAGAAAGCGTGAATAAATTAGTGCACTAATTGTGGTCTACCAAGTGATGCACAGCACTTCAGAAATATCTAGACACCAAATAAATACATTTGCTCTAAGTTTGCTCTAAGTTTTTTTCACTTTTTTTCCAACATGAGAAACTTAAGTTAGCTTGAGAACAGGAACATTACAGTGAAAAAGCATGCTTAGAAAAGTGTGAATAGCACAGTGTGGCTGCACATATTTATCACACTTGTAAAATGTGTATTTCATTAGCTGTAGACAGGGGTGTCAAACTCAAATACACAGTGGGCCAAAATTCAAAACTGGAACAAAGTCGCGGGCTAACGTTAATATTTATTGAAATATATTTATTCCTCCAGATATAAGAATGAATCTTTTCTTATGGACTCAAACACATTTTGCTAAAAACTGAATATGGAACAAGCAAAAAACTAAAAAAAAACCTGTATGTACCGGTATCAAATATGATATACTAGACAATAAGGGGTTCTCAGATTGATGACAGAATAATATCAATATTATTATTATCACTATGTTAACCAGTGTAAAAATGCCCAAATATAATTTAGCATGGACAGAGGGCATGGACAAAAGAAAGAAAAAAGAATCTCACATAACTAATTGTTGTCAGTGTTCATGGAAACAAAGGTGTAACTAGGCAATGAAAAGTTTGAAGCAGTATTATTATTCTGTTCCAGGAGAGAGTGCCATTATATGAAAGAACAGTTGTCATTGTGTTATTCCTCCAATGTTCAGGTTTTAAAATGAAATCATAAGAACTGAAATCCAACTTCATTGCAGTTGTTACAGTATATGGGTGACGTATTTTGGTGGATTATACGTCTTGTTAAGATTTGTACAGTTATACCTCACATGCTAAAAATCTGAAATGACCCCTTGTTAAGCTTTAAAGATGAATGAATGAACCATTATTTAATTTCAAGAATACATTTTAGAACTGTATATTTTATTCAGTAATCTTAGATTTTAAACATGGAGTTAACTGCTATACTGCACAGTGTGTGTAAACACAAAATGTGCTGGTTGACCTGTTTGTCACGGGTTAGACATGTTTTTTTGGTTTTTTTTACAGTGTTTATAAATGAATAGATTATTTTTTATGGGCCGATTTATATTTTAGGCATGCTCAAAACATCACTTAGTAATAAATAATAAATGCTTCCCCTCCCTTCCATTACACATGAATCTTTTTTCTTGAAAGCTAAAAGAGGAAGGAAAACCGACACCACTTCCTTTTATCCCCTCAGTGCATGAATATACAAGTACAACTTCAAAACCGGACGCCAACGATTTCACTCGCCTCTGAGGCTGCTTACTAACAATTTGGAGTCCGTTCAGAGCACCACACCCACCTTTGTTTTTGATGGAAAAGCTGCTGACTTGATCAACACAGGCTGAACAGACATGGAAGCTGCAGTTGGACTGTTGCTGGTGTTGCTTGGAGTCTCTCATGGTGAGTAACTTATTTTTGTCATGTCGTCTCTACTTATTAATTTCATAATCAATAATATGTTTCCAGCCATGATTAAAAAGGAGAGAGAGAGAAGAAAAGGCTATATTTAGCTAAAGATATTTTGTTCAACATATGTTGAACACAAACTATAGATCCTGTCGTACTATCGATCCAATACCAATAACAGTGCTGGTATCAATACTATTGATATTTGTGACAAAACATACTCATTTGAGTGCCCTGTTAACGAAGGCTATACCTTCATTAACAGGCCATATAGGCTATACCTACACAGCAAAATCTCCAGTGTTAAATTAACACTAGAGAGTGTCTATATGGGTCCACACCTCTGAGTGTTAAATACAACACTGTTGAGTGTTAAATTAACACTTTTGACAGTGTTATATGTTTAAAAGTAACCTAGTCAGTTTTGAAGATTAACAATGGCTAACACTGAGCAGTGCTGGTTTTCTAACACTGGAATATTTCTAACATTTTGAGTTATTTTCCAGTGTTAGAAAATCAGCACTGCTCAGTGTTAGCCATTGTTAATCTTCAAAACTGACTAGGTTACTTTTAAACATACAGTGGGGCAAAAAAGTATTTAGTCAGCCACCGATTGTGCAAGTTCCCCCACCTAAAATGATGACAGAGGTCAGTAATTTGCACCAGAGGTACACTTCAACTGTGAGAGACAGAATGTGAAAGAAAAATCCATGAATCCACATGGTAGGATTTGTAAAGAATTTATTCGTAAATCAGGGTGGAAAATAAGTATTTGGTCAATAACAAAAATACAACTCAATACTTTGTAACATAACCTTTGTTGGCAATAACAGAGGTCAAACGTTTACTATAGGTCTTTACCAGGTTTGCACACACAGTAGCTGGTATTTTGGCCCATTCCTCCATGCAGATCTTCTCGAGAGCAGTGATGTTTTGGGGCTGTCGCCGAGCAACACGGACTTTCAACTCCCGCCACAGATTTTCTATGGGGTTGAGGTCTGGAGACTGGCTAGGCCACTCCAGGACTTTCAAATGCTTCTTACGGAGCCACTCCTTTGTTGCCCGGGCGGTGTGTTTTGGATCATTGTCATGTTGGAAGACCCAGCCTCGTTTCATCTTCAAAGTTCTCACTGATGGAAGGAGGTTTTGGCTCAAAATCTCACGATACATGGCCCCATTCATTCTGTCCTTAACACGGATCAGTCGTCCTGTCCCCTTGGCAGAAAAACAGCCCCATAGCATGATGTTTCCACCCCCATGCTTCACAGTAGGTATGGTGTTCTTGGGATGCAACTCAGTATTCTTCTTCCTCCAAACACGACGAGTTGAGTTTATACCAAAAAGTTCTACTTTGGTTTCATCTGACCACATGACATTCTCCCAATCCTCTGCTGTATCATCCATGTGCTCTCTGGCAAACTTCAGACGGGCCTGGACATGCACTGGCTTCAGCAGCGGAACACGTCTGGCACTGCGGGATTTGATTCCCTGCCGTTGTAGTGTGTTACTGATGGTGACCTTTGTTACTTTGGTCCCAGCTCTCTGCAGGTCATTCACCAGGTCCCCCCGTGTGGTTCTGGGATCTTTGCTCACCGTTCTCATGATCATTTTGACCCCACGGGATGAGATCTTGCGTGGAGCCCCAGATCGAGGGAGATTATCAGTGGTCTTGTATGTCTTCCATTTTCTGATGATTGCTCCCACAGTTGATTTTTTCACACCAAGCTGCTTGCCTATTGTAGATTCACTCTTCCCAGTCTGGTGCAGGTCTACAATACTTTTCCTGGTGTCCTTCGAAAGCTCTTTGGTCTTGGCCATGGCGGAGTTTGGAGTCTGACTGTTTGAGGCTGTGGACAGGTGTCTTTTATACAGATGATGAGTTCAAACAGGTGCCATTCATACAGGTAACGAGTGGGGGACAGAAAAGCTTCTTACAGAAGACGTTACAGGTCTGTGAGAGCCAGAGATTTTCCTTGTTTGAGGTGACCAAATACTTATTTTCCACCCTGATTTACGAATAAATTCTTTACAAATCCTACCATGTGGATTCATGGATTTTTTTTTTCACATTCTGTCTCTCACAGTTGAAGTGTACCTCTGGTGCAAATTACTGACCTCTGTCATCATTTTAGGTGGGGGAACTTGCACAATCGGTGGCTGACTAAATACTTTTTTGCCCCACTGTATAACACTGTCAAAAGTGTTAATTTAACACTCAACAGTGTTGTATTTAACACTCAGAGGTGTGGACCCATATAGACACTCTCTAGTGTTAATTTAACACTGGAGATTTTGCTGTGATAGCAATAAAAATGAAGTAAGACTATGATGGTATAACAATAAGGCAACATGTTTCATCAACAAAACCCTAAAGCTACAGCAGCTAAATCATGCGAAAATGCAGTGTGAATGCCGTGTAGTGGAATCTGAAAACAGCAGAAGAAGGAGAGCCATCTGTTGAAAAAAGGTGTAGAAGCTGAACTCTGCTTTATTTGAAAGACTATACTGAAGAGTGTCAAGAAAGCAGCCCATTTTGCTGACAGGAACCACATTATCAGTGTGATCACCAGTTTTGCTTGCCGCGCTGAGCCATGTTTTAGCTCGGTGAGATGAGCAGCCGTTCTCAGACCAGGAGGCCAGGGTTCGAATCCTGCTTATGGCAACATTTTCTTCAGTTAACACTTCAACTGTTTAATCTTTTTTCCACACAAATTTCAGCTTTTTCACCTCTTTTTAGCAAAAGTTTCAGTTTTTCACTACTTTTCAGCACAAATTCCAGCTTCTTAAGCTGTTTTTAGCACAAACTTCAGCTTCTTTTCCTCTTTTCAGCAGAAAGTCTGCTGATTCACCTCTTTTCAGTACAATTTTCAGCTTTTTCACCTCTTTTCAGCACAATTTTCAGGTTCCTTATTTCTTTTTTGCTGAACATTCAGCATTTTCACCTCTTTTCAGCAGAATTTAGCTTCTTCTGCACAGTGCACATTTTTTTCCCTCTCATCATATCTTTGTTTTGGGACCAGAAATGGTTTGGCGCAGTAGGATGCGCAGCTGCTGTGAGATCTGGTGGCAAGGGTTTGAGTACTACATGGGACAGATGCTGCACATCTTCCCTGCTTGCATGTAATCTGCTTTCTTGACACTCTTCAGTGTAGTCTTTCAAATAAAGTAGAGTTCAGCTTCTATACCTGTTTTCAACAGATAGCTCTCCTTCTTCTGCTGTTTTCAGATTCCACTACACGGCATTCACACTGCATTTTCGCAGGAAGTGCAACTTTTTCTAGTTGTATAATTTGAATTTGTAATTTTCTAGTTTTAGTTTGTAGCTGTTCATCAGCACAGGGAAAATAGTGCTGCTAGCTGAACCTTAACTGTGATTCACAGACCTGTATAATGTTCATCTGTGACAGACAGTGGGCACAAAACCGTCATTTTTGGTTTAGGTAGACATTTGCAGATTTTGCCAAACTCAAATTTGTAACTTAAAAACAAACAAACCAACTGTGTATCCTTTTTTGTTTGCAGGTGTGGAAACTCACTGTGATGGCAGACGGGATGGAGCTCAGTGTTATGGACCTTTGGGAGGAACTGTGAAAATCCAGCTGATGGACAACACTTCAGAAATTAATAAATACAATTTGTTAAAAAATACATTAAAAATATTAAATGTAAGAAATAATAAGGTTACTTCTAATTCTATAAGAGTGGATCTTTTCCCCAGTAATGGAACATTTAGGATCAATAACCTGAGCAGCTCAGACAGTGGTAAATATACCCTTCAAACCTTTGACTCAGATGGAAGATCATCAGGCGGGTGGACTTTACAGTTGTTCATTCAAGGTAAATGTTGGGAAATTAAGCCATTAATAGATTTTTGGTAATCCATGTAATACATCTCACAAAATTTCAGATACATGTGTTTTTTGCGTTCCCTGTTTTTCATTCTATAATGAATGACCAAATACTATTTTAAAAAACTGATCTGTGTGTGTGTTTTTCTCAGCTCCTGTGTCCTCTGTCCTGCTGGTTTCTGAGTGTCTGTCCCAGGGAGAGATGAGGGTGTCCTGCTCCTCTGAGGGAGGGGACAGTCCTCAGTACAGCTGGACTCTGGATGGACGCACACTGACAGATGCTGAGCTCCTTTCTGTAAATAATGAGACTAACATCATCACTCTGAAACAGCACGTGTCAGGACATCTGGTCTGCTCAGTCAGTAATAATGTCAGTAATGTCTCCAAAGAGGAGAGAATATCGACCTGTGGTGAGTGAGAATATAAATAATCTGATATATATATGATAATTACTAATTCATTAATTAATACTGTAACTTTGCACATCTTTAACAAATTATGTGTTTTATTGCTCATAGGCTTTATTTTCATTAACTGTACTTCAGTCAATGGGACACAGATATCACGGTGGGTGTATAAAGCTAATAACACCCTGTGTACTCCACCAAAACAGACTTCTGTGGGTAAGGATTATGGAACTACCATCAGTGATGAGCCATGGTACATTAGTAAGTAAAAAGTAACTTCAGATCCATTGATGTAATTTTCTCCTTTGCTCATTCTCTGTCTTGATAAAAAACCAACATGTTTTCTGATTCAACCTGCTATCTGTTTGTGCCTTTTATTTTCGAAACAGGAAATTTGCCACTGATCGGTAGTGTTCTCTCAGCGCTGGTAATTTTCTTGGTTGTTGGTGTAGTAGTCATATGTGCTTGGAGGAAAAAGCAAAACAGCAAACCTACAAAAAAGGGTACACTTTATTTCATCACTTATTTTGCTCAGATTGCTTTTTTGTTTTTTAGGATATACGGAATAGTAAGCTTTTTAAATACATTTTTGATTTCTTGTCAAGAGTTTATTGATAACTCTGTCATATATCAGTTAAATATGCAGATACTGCTATCCTGCTACAATTAACACAAAAACCTGTGAAACAGCTCTGTCTAAACAAAGCAAAATCCACAAACTATAAACTCTAAAGCTCGCTAAAGAACCCATGTCATATTTTGTATGACTCATTTTATGTTATCTACTGTCTTTGTATTCCTTTAATCATTCACTTATTTTAATACTATATTTGAACCATCCCTTTTGCTACTTTGCAGAGGAAGAAGATGACCAGGAAGTCTTTGCTGATGTCAAGTTTGTCAAAAGGCAGGCAAACCAAGCTGAGAAAAAAGCTGCTGTGGAGTACGGCCAAGTAAATTCTGCAAAGCGACCTCGGAGGCCTGAACCAGCAGGAACTGATTGTGTGTATGCTAACGTCCATAAAGTCAGGTGAAGAAGTGCTCAGTGCTTTTGGACAGACAGCTCCACTGAAAGTAGCTGGAGTGAGGAGCTGATGTTAAGATGCCTAAAGGTCCTTCATTTAATGTAAATTCCCCGTATAAAATACAAACCATAGCTTATAAGGTTTAATGTATTGGACTATTTAACTGTCACTTTTGTAATATATCAGGTCATTAACACAACTATTGTTACATGACCTCTTGATTTAATTACAAACACTGAGTGTTTTCTGCATCTGTACTCTGTGGAAGCCTTTGACTAGTTCTTCACTTGGTAAAGGTTCGACCAACATGTAAATGGAAACATGATAAAGAGAAAGCATTTTAACATTTATGAAAATATGACTGTAAATAAAACGTCTTTTGTACCACACTTGTTATGTGAACAAAAATGTAGCTTTTCATATATTTTGGTTTTTGCACAGACACACTATAACAGTGTAATTGTAGAATATAAATGGGATATACCCCTGAGAGTGAGTACATAGTAGTGGTGGACAAGCAGAAGAGAAAGACTGTAGTGACAGATGTGGCTATACCAAGTGATAGAAACATCTGGAAGAAGGAACACAAGAAGCTTAAGAAATACCTAGGGGTGAGAGGGAAGCTAGAGAAGATTTGGAAGGTTAGGCCAGCAGTGGTCCCAGTGGTAATCAAAACACTTGAGGCTGTGACTCCCAAAATGGGCAAGCAGCTCAGAGATTCCATGAACAACATCCGAGATCTGTGTCCAGAAGAGCACAGTCCCAGGAACAACAAAGATCAGATCATCAAACAAATTTAAATAAAAGACAATGATAAGACAAATAAACAGAAAATGGGAGGATAAAATCCAAACCTACATAGCCCTGTGTGAAAAACTTGTGGGACATTTAGAGACCTATTAAGATCTATTAAGATGGTGGTTTATAGCAGTTGACACATCGCTGTGGGTATTAGGGTGTGGAGTCCGCTTGCCTGATATGTGTCCACTTGAACAAAAGCTTTTAGTGATATATTCACCACTAGCTGTCCTTCTCAGGTTATTGATCCTAATTATTGCATTAGTGGGACCACAAACCTGTTTCTGTGTTATAAAGTAGAACCTTATTCTTTTTTCCAGTGAGTACTTTTGATTGATCCTTTAACAGCTAGAATCTAAATATGCTGTCTAAATAAAGTGTTATCCATCACTTAAATTGCCACAGATCACCCCAAAGCTTCATAGTGCACCCTGCCTTCACAAAAGGTTTCCTCATCTGCAAATAGAAAAAGAGCAAGCATCACCATTTCGAGTTATCAGTCCCAACCAGAAGGACTCTGACCACAATTTGTAAATGTTAACCAAAAACAGAAAAAAGACATTTGGTTGCACCCATCTGTCTTAGTCCATGCTATGCAAAGGTGCTTTATGCAAGTCTGTGTCTGAAACACATTTAGGGTTCAGCTAACAACACTAAACAACAGCTAAATATTACACCTGGGAAAAAAAGTCAATTAAATTAATTCAGTTTTATTTACCTGTTTAGCTTCATGTGACGGCATCATGGCCTGCTGTGTCACCACCAATAATACAACTTACACTACTAATGAAAAAGAGACACTGTAGGGTCACTGTTCCTATCTTCAACCAACAAAAGAATATCATCTAACTAGTAATCCCCTCATACACACTCCTCCTCAGGGTCTTGTCCTGTCTTCTTTTAGGGCATGATGCAGAACAATCTGAAGGGAGTGGGGGGG